TCAATGTGGAGAATGAATGGGAGAGTGCAAGACTAAAATAGAGACAAATGAAGGGAGAGTTCTAACAATCCAGGTGATCCAAACTAGGGTGATAGCTGTGGGAATGGAAAGGAGGAGATGTATTCAAAAGACAGGAGGTAGAACTTGTAGGATTTTGGCTGTGAAGAAGAAGAAAAGGTCAAGATGACAGTGTTCAGCTTTAGTGACTGCACAGACTGTGGTACTAACCATTATAATAGGGAATAAATATAAGCAGATTCAAAAGGAATGTAAGAGTTTATTGTTTAATGGAGAAAACATAAATATATCCAATGAGCAGAATGCACGAGTCTAAAATTCAAAGAGATTATCTGGGTTCAAGATATAAATTTGGATACCATTAAGCGTACAAATGGAAATGTAACTATGTAACTAGCTTGTGAGACTTAGGGAGACTAGACAACGAGTACTAGAATTTAAGGAATGTACAGAAGAAGAAAAGGAGACTGAGAAGGTGGGGCCATAGAAGAAAGAAGAACCAAGAGGATAAGTGTTATTATAAGAGTTAAAGAATGAGTGACTTGGGAATAAGCTCTCTCTCTACTTAATAACAAGGTCTTTACGACACAAAACTTTAAAAATAAGACTGATTCTCTTTTTATGACAATTTGTCCTCCAAATATCTCATATCAACTCTTAGGGATTCATGAATTAAAAATATAAATCACATGTACCCATATCAACAAACTGAAAGCAAGTATAAATGTACCAATGAAATGCAGCAAAGAAATAATCCCATGATTATTATAGCTAGCCTTCAGACTTGAACAGTAGAGAAATTACCATCTCCTTCTCCAAACTTTGTTTTTATCCACAGCTTTGGAAATTTTATTATTCAATGACAGCAGCAGTAAATTATCCTCCAAATAAAGCCCATGATAAAATCTGGTAGCATCAAAGCAACTGCTTCCAAATCTAACCTGTGAGATATTTGGAAAAAAATACCCAGTGCTATGTCACTGATAAGAAGTGTCTTAAGTCTTCCCTGATGGGCATGTGAGGAAGGTATGCTAGATGCACTGGGCCAGGGTCCACTACCATGTAAACTGAGTTACTTCTCATCTTCTCTTCATCCACAAACCAGTAAAGCCTCTTGATTGTGTTTAAATTCCTGATTAATATAAATTCTTCAGACTAACTGATTTGTTATTGAAAATGCTAATCCAGTAAGAGGATCAGCTACAAGGAAATGTGTCTAGTTACCTGAAGTAGATCCTTAAGATGAGAAACATTGAAGAAAAAAAGAATTCTGAAGCAACTTTAGATATTTGGCTAACTTCTCGATATATCCTTTTTTGCAGTTAATATGACAATCATAGAAGCTTTCCCATATTATGCCCTGTAATTCCATCATTAAAGAGCAACTTAATAAGGGTATAGTCAGGAGTCAGCAAACATTTTTTGTAAAGTTACTA